TATATCATTCACTGGCCAGATGGATCTTCTCCAAACAGCAGTCCTCGCCTTCATACCATGAAGGAGGCTGTGTGAACTCATTCTTATCTCTCATGACTTTCGTTTGGAGCCTTTGAGGCTAAGAACAGACATATCTCAACATTTTTTTACTCCTCAAACTCTAGAGAGCAGTAGTACCATAAATCGTCATCACAAGGAGGCAAGGAACCATGCTAGCGCGCGGCGTAAATTCTCGTAAGGAACCAAGCTTGGCGTGGTTAACTGATCTAAGCTCGGTACAGATCGTTTTTCAGAGGGTAGTGTAATTGGGGGGTAATTAACTCTGCCTTCATGATCTTTGAGGTTCTTGACAGAAGTGGGAAGCCGTGTGCTCTTCCACAGATACGACCAGAACCCCTGGTGAGTTAACTATGCAGAACCGTAACCCTATAAAACAGCCGATCACTGATCATTACTCATCATCTGTGTTGTTGATACTGATTTGTGATCCATGTAAGATATCTGTGATGATCATCAGTCATCCAGGTCATGGTCAAACTTGAGAGGTTCAGTCTAGGCAACTGGACAGGAAGTTTTCTGGAAGACGTTTCTCCTCTCAACCAAGAGGCTTCTTCAGTTCCCATTAGTGGTGGGGAGCACTGAGATGAACAAAAATCAAACAAAAGGTGGCTTTGATCTTTCCTACTGGCCATGGAGATCACCTGAGGGTGTTAATGGCCATTAGGGGCGTTCTAAAGGATCGTTAAATATTTCATTGCCAAAGAACAACAGCCATCTGGGCCGAGTCAAAGAGCAGTTGCTTAAGTTGTAAGCCTTTGCGCTCTCTCCTAGAGAGACCAGTGGACATTGTTGCATTACCATTTAAAGTAGGGGTGGGTATTGGCAAAGAAGTCATGATTCGATTCGAATCACGATTCACATGCCACGATGCGATTCTATCACGATGCATCATGATACTTGAAATATTGCGATGTATTGCGATGCATTGCGATATTTTCACTGAACACTGTAAGAAAAAGATACGGCCCTTACCAGTGGCTGTGATCTGGATCGTGTCTTCAATTGATACATAACTGAAAGCAACTGAATTTGGCTGATGTGCGCCAACCATACATGTGTTTTATTTGTTCATTTTTTTTTTATAACCGATTCTTGCCTTCAAGAATCGATGCAGTAGATCACAAAAAAAATCATGACGATTATTTTGCACACCCTTAATTTAAAGGGTTAGGGTTAGTTTGTGGACTGATTGGACCTTCTGCCCAGCAAACTCTAATTAATTTACTGAACTGATTCCATTCGTCGTACGATCATCTGTCTGCTCCCCAGAAACCAAAAACATTTCCTAGAGTTCTCAGTTTTTGTCTTAGAAAGAGTTAGAATGTTTTGCTTAAATTTTGAATTTAATGGTTGAAGTAACTTATTCTTGCTCTTGCTAATACTCTGCAAAAATGTGACTAAGGTAGGCCATCAACAAGCTTGTTACAATTAATAATAATTGGATTTTTTTCAATCTCACACTGGAGAAATTCACCTCTGCATTTGACCCATCCCCTTAGAAAGCAGTGGGCTGCCACTGTGTGGCGTCTGGGGAGCAGTGTGGGATTAAGGGTCTTGCTCAGGGACTAGGGGTGTAAATCACATCCATCATGGCGATTCGATTCAGTATCGATTTCCTGACCCAATGATTCGATTATTTTCGATACTCAAGAATACACCACGATACGATTCGATTAATTGGTCAATTTTTTCTCTTTTTTTTTTTTTACTTACAGGCTAGACAATGTTTCAAATTTGAAATAAATCAATGAAAGCTGTAATATCGTTATGCATTTTTTTTTTTTAGAATCAACAGCAAATAACAGAAGTAGAAAAGTTGCATCAAAAAATACTACAAAAATACTGCACATAATCAGTGCAATGAGTGCAATGCAATACCTCGGCTCCAGACGTCCCGCCCCCTCCACAGACNGTAGGAGGGCAAAATAGGTTTAGCGCCACCGCAGCACGGGAGGGAGAATTACACCCAGGAGCAAATGTATAAAAATAGAAAAAAACAAAAACATGAATCGATACTCTTGCAGACGTATCGATGCATCAGATCGTCGACTGTTGGATGGATGCATCGATACAAATAATTATCATTTACACCTCTATCAGGGACCCAGACAACCGGCTGTGTGGATCGAACCAGGTACTTGCAACCTTCTCAGAGCAAGTGTACTGTTCTAACCACTAGGCCAACACTCCCCAATTGTTGTGCAAAAAGAAAAAAATACATACTTTAATGAAGACTGTTGGGTTTTAATCCAGAGAAATGTGAGTTTAAAAGATTAAGAGGAAATGATCAAACACAGACAGGGTTTTGGAAAGTCAACCTCTGCAAAGGGGAGAGAATCTGCAGGCTCCAACCAGCACACACTCTCTCCCAGATCCCTTCACAGCAAAGCCTTTTATTAACAGTTTACAACATAATAGGGCAGGCCTTAAACAGAAGACCCAGTAATGATTATCTGGCAGGATGCAGGTCATAAGATGAAATGACCATCTGGTTGGATGGAAGTCGCACAACCGTGTGACTCTGCCTCATGACCTCCTGGATGGAGGTCATAAAAGTTTATGACCCTTCTGATTGAATCACCGGATAGAAATGTAGCATCTTCTTTCTTTCAATGTTTTTATATGTCCACACAATAATTTTATAATTATCACTCTAACAAGGACCAAGAAAGCTTTATTCAGTTTCACTTAATCACTGATCAGTATTTTTCTGTACTAATTAATGAAAAAAAAAAAGCAAATAACTTCAGGACTTTACATTTTCAGCCTCCAGATATAAGTGCATAATGGCCTCACATCCTGGTGAAGATTCTCATTCATCGAGGTCATAGTCATTCCAAAAAAAAAAAAGAAAATTAAAAACAATCCACGGGAATTTGTTTCAAAGTTAGAGGACATTAAGATTCCCACCCAGGAAGCTTTTTCAATTCAAAATGAATAGAATTTTTAATTGAAAAAGCTTCCTGGATGCGAAGCAAAGCATCTTCAAATTTAGAAACAAAGTCCAGTGGATTGTTTTTTATTTCCTTTTTTTGGAGTGGACCTCATATGATTGTGTTATTCAAGAATTTAGTAATTTATTTATCGGCTGCTTATCCTGTAAAGATTTGTTTTTGCGTTTCCTGCTCGTTGGGCCATGAGCTTTTCCAAAATCGTAATGGTTTGGGCTTCATCCTCTGGGTCCACCTCCACTACAAAGTCATATTTGTCCACCTGCTCCAGAAAGGGAATTTCTTGTGGTTTGAGCAACGATGCCGACATCAGGTGTACAGCAACCCTTTGGGACAGGCCTGTCAGAGCCGCTGGGATCAGAGGCGGCCAGTTCTGCTCAACAGAAACCACAGTGACGTATGGGAACAACTCCTCCAGGCTGGACACAAAGTCCTGCAATAAACACCGGACATGCAGAGAGCAAATTAAGAACCGAATAAAAAAAAAGAAACAGGCCCATGCGTTTGGCTTTTTCTTTCATAGGGAAACCATATCGCTTTAAACGGCCCTTCTATATGTAATGGCCAATATTTTCTTATTTTCTCAAATATTTCAAAAAGTAAAGTTTTTAATAATACAGACGTTTGTGGCATTGCTGCTGTCTACGTCCTCCATGCTGATCCAGATGGGTCGATAGAGCTCCTCTGCGCCATAAGCTGCCTGCAGCAGATTTAGAGAACGTTCTAGAAGCTGATGATTGTGAATCCGAAGATAAACACCCCAGGGTGCATCGGCCCTCTGTCCCAGAAGCTCAAGGACTTTCTTCAAAAAACAGAATATTCATATATAAGACCATGCATCTATATTGTAAACATTACTTCCTACATTTCCCCTCAAATCCTACATTAGGGTTAAAAAGACAAAAGTGGACACCTAAAGTATTTGTTTACACATGCAGTAAGCCACTTATTTCCTCTTAAATCAAATGGGAGCAATACAAATATTTGGAGTTCAATAGTAGTTCTCAGAAAATAGGCTTGAATGGTTAATGTGGCAGACAGGTTGAGTTTCTTATGGTGGTTTTCTCGAGAAAACAAGTTGAGTTTAAGTTTGATGATTTGCTTCCAGTTCTGATTCATAAGCAATTAGACCTATGACTCTGGCGCCTTAGCGCTGGGTGTTTTCTGAACAGCCCCAGTGTTACACCTGTAACAGGTATAAAATGCATTAACCCCAAAATAAGTCCAGATTAAAGATTTTCATTAAAAAACAGTCAGATGACAATGAGTAAAAAGAAAAAGGAAACTAAAAAACTGATTATTTTCGCATAGGCGGTGCGGTGACTTTACGACTACGGGGCCCCCAGGCACAGATGGACTTGTTAGCAGCCTCATTCATTTTTCATACAGATCAATCATCTTGTTATCTCAAGAAATCGATAACTGTTTTCTGGAGATAATTATCTTGTAATCTCGAGAAAACAATTCATGGTTTAACCATAATAATGAGATAGTTATGTCATTATATATGTACGTATGTATATATGTTTATATATATATATATATATATATATATATATATATATATATATATATA